AATTAGTATAGATATAGTTATATATAATAAAGTTATATTATATGATACAATATAACGTATTATAAAGAAATATTTCATTGCTATGTCGTAAATTATTGTAAAGATACTTTTAAATATACATAGTTATAAAGTAAAATATAATAATATTTATTATAAATATTGTGCTATAACCTATAATTATATTAAAAATTAGTTGACTATAGTGTAGGATAATATAGTTATACTGTTTAAATGGTGTAAGTATACTACATAATTGTGTTTAAGCTAGTTAGTTATAGATCAAATAATTTAGATGTGTAATAGGATTAAACATATTTTTTTATTAATTATAGTATTATTAATTAATATAAATTAGTTTGTTGAGTATATTTCAAATATTTTATATTATTATCAAATGCAAACCCAATAAATTATAACGTTATATTAATAATTACTGCTTTAATTAAATATGGCATGGTCATACTGTTTAATGGTATAATGTAATACAGTATAACATAAATATAAAAATAACATTATATCTTTAAACTGTATTATCTGTTTGTGTAATTGTATAGGTAAATGTAATTAAACAGTGTTATATAGAATAGTCAAAATATAAATTAATATAGAAATAGTGTAAAATAAGACAGTATTATTAAAAAACAATATAAAATCGTTATTTATTTTAGTTATTGAATATAAAAGATATTATGTATAAGATTATTAATAGTATATAATTATTTATATATTATAATATGTTAAAACAGTCATAATGTAAATTAATGTTTTAGTTTTCGTTGATCATAATAAAGATATATTATTTAATATTTAAAAATATATCATAATGTTTAATTAATATGCTAATAATATATCATACATATATAGTAAAATATATTGTAATAGTTTAATATATTATAATTATTTGTAAAATATCATACTAGTATAATATAAAATCACTAAAATGTAAAATAGTGTATTTGTAATATAATTTATTATATTTTTTATAATAAATTTTAACTTCTGTAATTGTAATATACCAATAATTTTTAAAATAATGTTTTAAAAATGAATTTGTTATATATAATAAAAAATTTATTTTTTTAATTATATTGAATAAACAATAATAAAATATAAATAAATTAGTGTTTAATAATTTTAATGTATTAATAAAATAATATAAGGTTAGTATAGTCAAATAATACAGTGATAGTGTAATATAATTTAGTTATATAACTTAATAATACGAATTGTAATATGAAAAAAGTAATACTGAAAAAAGATTTAAATAAATTAAATAAAATAGTATTATTTAAAAAAAATTATGGTAATAAAATTAACTATGAAGTAAATATATATAATTGTACTAAATAGTCTATTAGTATATAATCAAATAGAAATTAATTATTCCAATGCTACTATATTACAACAATAATAGTTAAAAATAATAGTACAATACAATGTATATTATGATATAATAGGGTATTATAATGTATAACTAGTAAAATATTATAAAAATTAGTATAATATATGCTAGAGTACAATAAATAATAAATATATTTTAGTAAAATGTACAAATATTTAAAATTAATGTAGAAATATAAATATATAACATAATAGTAATGTATCTTTATAAATTTATAGTACAATATTATTTATTTATAATATAAAATAAAATAGTTTTCTTTTAAAATAATTTTTGTGTGTGTAATATGTTTTAATATGTTAATAAAATGTATTATGTATTATTAATTTTAAGTTAATATATTATTAAATAATATAATATTAGTATTTGACGGTTTAGTCTGTGAGTTAACCGTCATATAGCCTTAAAGTGAATTTTAAGTAAAATTTACAAAACAATAAGTAAAGCTAGATATATTTTATAAGGAACTGTAACGTAATTTATGAATTAAAAGATTACTTATCAAAGATTAAGGGGTATGGTCAATTTTTATAGCTTATCTATTACGTCACAGTGTATATGAATGACCCATTTGAAGTTCTGTTTATTGATAGCTGCGTTATATATAACTAATATTATTTTGAAGTCTTGTATCTGTCTCGGAGATGGATTACTGATCCGAAGATCCAGAATAATGACCAAACTTTCTTACATAGTTAATGTAATTAAAAGTTGACGGAGTATAATATTTCAAAAATAGTATATGTTTTGGTACAATATATCAAGATATATATTACTAAAATGTAAAAATAGTAGAATATAATGCAGTAATATTAATACTTGTACTCAGTATGATAATATTATAACATTATAGATAAATTAATAGGTATTTTTATAGTACAATATTGATAATTAATATAAATTAAGATATTATTAATAACAATTTAAGTAGTAGTTTAATTATCACTTATATACAGTACATAGATTTAATATAACCAAGTTACTCTTTATTTTATATTCTTTACAAGTTACTATACAGTATAATATACTGTAATACATATATTCTTTACAACGCAAAGAAAATTACTTATACAATATAACTAACATAAATAAATTAAATATTGCTTTTAAAACTTAATCTTCAAAAAAAACAGTATTATATCTTTAGTATATAACTCAACGAAAAATTTTCTATCATAACTGTCTAAATATATATATGTATATATTTTTATTACAGAACCACTAGTATATACAGACAATCCGTATTATAAACAATATCTAATACATACCTTATTAAACTTATAGCTACGATATATATATATATATATATATAATGACTATAACTAGGTTTAGGAATTCATTATTTTTATCTATATTTTTAAACTAGTAATAACCGGTTCTTTAATCATGTGATTGCATTAACACTAATAAACCGGTTTGAACCAGTTATATTGAATCAACATTTAATAACCGGTTTTGCGCAGACGTAATACATATCTCAACGTATTGCATACAAGCTATCTTAATATCTAGCATTATTCTATTAGAGTGTATTAATGGATGCACTTAAGTTATATATATATATTAGTTAATATATAAATAATCGTAAAACTTGTAATAAACAATTTTAATTCACAGTATATTATAATTATTTATAATAATAGTCTTTAGTGTAATAATAAGAACTACTGAATTTTGTATTGCATCATTTTTTATTTTAAATAATTTTATTAAAACTTACTTCAATTGTAACAAAAAATTTATTTTATTACTTATTATACTAAGTTATAATAAGAGTTAACTACTATTCTAGTCTTATGATTATTTTAAGTAAAAGAAATAATAGTAATATATTAGTGTTAATAATAATATCAAGAAACTCATTGCATCATCTATAATTATATATATTTTTTGATAAACATATGATTGCATCAACATTTATGCATTAACAGCATTTACACTTTGTGCGCAGGCGTAATACATAGCACCACATATTGCAACATTGCATAGCAGTTAACGCATTTCATTAGCTTTGCATAGCTTTAAACGTTCACTTCATTTAATTTATCTTATTATATGTCATAAACAGGTAATATTATAAGTATTTTAATGTTTTAAAGTACTTTATTATTAAATTATTGTTAGTTGATATATAACTAATACTAAAATTAATAGTATGTTAATAATTTTATTATAATTTGTTATTTTAAATAATATAATATATAAATATATTATTTATTTTAGATATATAATAATTATAACAATATCTAATTGTGTTATAAATATTAATAAGCATTGCATCATAAATAATTATTTTATTTATACGCAGGCGCTTAATATAGCGCACAATAAATTGCAAGCAATATATACTTCAATCTCAATAGATTATATATTATAGTGTTATTAAAACGTATTTTTTATTTATTTTTACGTGTTTGTAGTCTTAGAATATCATTAAAATATGAATTTTAACACCGGCGACTCAAAAAAATTAAATCACAATCAATTGAAATAATACCTGTTGTGAATAATCAAAAAGAGCAGTTAATAAAAAGTTTTAAAAAGCGAAGTGTTATCACAATTAATTGCAAATCTTATTCATCTGGATATCATGCTATTTGGATAGGAAGCGTCTGGCATTATTATGGCTTTGATAAACAAAAACTATCCAATAATCTTCATTGGTTTAAAATTATTGCTGCAAAGGGATATAGTCCAAAAACTCAAACTCGTGGTACACAAAAGTTATGTCGCTTAGCTTGGGTCAATTATAGTGAACAATTAGGGTCACACAATTGGGATATAATGCAAGACTATCTATTAACTGTAAATATAAAAGGTAATCTAGGGTTACAGTTGATTATTATAAACTCGGATAATAATGAGTATATTTATCAACGAGAATGTTTAAATAATTTATCATTGAAAATATATTTAGAATTTATACCTAATAAATCAAAATATAATTTTATTAAAAATAAAAACAAATACTTTTTTGTTAAAAAATAATACTGAATAATTATTATGAGTAATAATTATAATTACCAAATTAAATTATTATATTAATTATATTATACTTAATTGTAATTAATTTTTATTTAATTGTATTTAACTATTTAATTGTATTTAACTATTTAATTGTATTTAACAATCTAATAGTATTTAACTTGAAATATGATAAATAAATAAATTTAATTAATTAATCAAAAAATAGAAGCATAATTAAAAAACATTTTTTATTTCATGTGATGCAATATGTCATGTGACATATTGCATAACATCATTTTTACACATTTACATAATTTATGAATGGTCAATAGTACTACTACTACATGTAGTAGTACTATTTCATTCATAACTTTTACGCACGGACTGATCGGATTAACTGATAAGAGGATTAGTAGGGGATTAAAGGATTAAAACTATAGGAGGATTAAATCGCGCCTATAACCCTATATATACTACTTATAATAATAATAATAATAGGATAATATATTAACTTATTTTATATACTAATCATTATTATATATATATATATAAGGAAATCATTGACGGCACTAGAAATGGCTATTATTGTATACAAACTATGAGCAAAATGTTTAAAAAATTAACACTACTTATGAACAACATTGAAGAAAGTGAAGATTGCCTGACACTGATTGTCTGGGCACCGGTAGTCGATGGTGGCACCGGTAGTAGTAATAGTACTAATACTAATAATACTAATAATCAACTAAAACCGGTACTGTTTTACATACACGGCGGTGCCCTTAGCCTTAGTTCCGCTTACGACCCGATGGCTAACATGTCGATGTTGGCCACCTATGGTTTGGTAGTCGTATCCGTTAATTATCGTTTAGGACAGTTAGGTTTTCTGTATGGCGGTTCAAATTCATCGGCACCGGGTAATGTTGGTTTCTATGATCAATTGCTAGCACTTCATTGGGTATATACTAGTAATATAGTGTATATATACAGTATATATATACATTACATATATACAGTAATACATATATGTATGTATGTATGTATGTATATATATATGTATATATGTATGTATGTACAGTATGTGTGTGTGTGTATGTATATATGTATGTGTTTATGTATATATGTATGTATGTATATATTTATGTATGTGTTTATGTATATATGTATGTATGTATATATTTATGTATGTATATATGTAGTATGTATATATATGTATATTGATATTACTATACTATAATTATATAATAAATTATTTTTTAATAGGTTAGAGATAATATACATTTATTTGGTGGCAATAAAAATATGATAACATTAATGGGTATAAGTGCTGGCAGTTGGTCAGTAACGGCACATATATTATCGCCGCTATCGTCCACCACCACCAGTAGTCGGGCTCTGTTTAGTCGGGCTATCATACAAAGTGGTGCCGAACTGTTCAATAAAGACAGGCCAGTAGTCAACCGAGTCGATGGTCTAGAAAAAGCCAGACAACTGGCCCGTAAAGTTGGCTGCAATCCCGATGCTAATGACAAACATTGGTTAGACTGTATGCGTCGGATCAATGATTTGGATCTATTATGTGATTCACCCGAAACGGGTGCCATAACTGTCCGAACGTTTCCCGTTTTTGGTACCGATTTTTTGCCACATTTAACACAAAAAGCCCTAAAAAATCGTTTATATAATTCAGGTATTATTAGTATTATTATTATTGTATTTAGGGTTATGGGTAAATTTCCACAAAAGTTCCCTCCTATTTTCCTGGGAAATATTATTCCCCCACCTACCTCCCCAGGGAATCTACCACCTATTGCTATAACAACATAAACAACAATTTTTATTTATAAGATTTGATGTGCAAATGTAACAAAAAATATTTTTTTTAAACTGTATTGTATTTTAGTGTTAGTATAAAAATAGTATAAATAAATTAATTTTGAATTTAAAATTAATTTTTAATATATTTTTTTAATGAAATTTTTTTATGTAAGAAAAAAATTAAGTTTTTTTGGTATTATTTATTGTAGAAATATATAAAAATATATTTTCTATTGTATAAAAAAACCGGGCGCTATAAAAATCTCTGAAAAAATATAATATTTTCCCTATTTTCCGGGGGGGGAATTGGAGTGATTTTATTAGGGAATTCCCCCCCCTTTACCCGAACTCTAATTGTATTTTTTTTCTAAAAAAAATTATAAATACTTTTAACTTTCGTTATGTTAAGAAGTAACTTATGTTATATAAAATAAATAATATACTAATTATTAGTACATATTTTTCTTTTTACATTTAATGGCACCCCCTCACCACCCACCCACCCACCCACCCACACCCACACCCACACCCACTCACCCACCCAGGTATCCAAATAATGGCTGGCGTTACCCCTGATGAAGGTACTGTTGTTTCTGTATTATTCAATTCATCCGTAATGAATGGTATATCGATGGAAACTTACCGGAAATTACTTAAACTTGTCGACAATGATTACCATAATTTAGATATCGATCGCTTAGTTGGCTATTATCTGAATGATTTCAATAACCAGACCAACCCTATTGTATTGCGCAATCAATTTATCAGACTATACGGTGATCTGGCGATTAAGTGTCCGATATATTGGTTTGCAAAATATTTGGCCATTGATTTCAATGATACTAATAATAATAATAATAATAATTTGGTCTATTTTTATCAACTAAACTATACGACTGGTAAAGGAAATGTCAATTTATTTACAAAATTATTAAATGATAGGACACTGATAGGTCACGGAGCCGAAGCCGACCTAATTAATGGTCAACCGATTTTGAATCAACATTATTATAGTAAAATTGATTATGAATTTAGTTTAGATATAATGCAATTATGGACTAATTTTGTAAAGTTTGGGTAATTATATATATATATATACTGTATATTGTTTTTAATTATTTATTTCATAGATATAATATATATATAAATGATTTAATATGTAATTAATTAAGCATTTATTAAGCATTTATTATTATTATTATTTTTTATTTAACAAAAAAAATTTTTGATATTATATTATGCTATTTTAGTAAACCAGATAATAATTGGCCATCAATTAAACCAAACAAATTCAATGTTAAAATTTTGAATCCATACGATCGGACACTTTTTATGGATGATCCGTTTAATTGGACGTGTAATGGGATTTGGAGTAATTATTTTTAGTTTATAAATATTTTTTAAAAATTTTTTAAAAATAATCAATTTAAATTATAGTTGTTTAATAATGATAATTGTAGATTTTTTTAAATAATTTTTTAACACACATAAACATTTGTATCTATATAAATAAATAAAAATATATAAATTTTTGTATATCTATTTTAAAAAAAAAAAATAAAATTTTAAACTAATTAAAGTTTATTATTTTTTTGGGGTAATGCTTTCTAGCATTCTCAACTGGTTTTTATTTATTTCTAATAATTATGACATTAATTTTTTTTTAAATTACAAACAAAGAAAAAACAAAACAAAATAAAATGTATTTAACAATAATTAATAGTATTATTTAAAAAAATAATTATTAATTTGTAACCAATTAAGATAATCTACAACAATATTTTTTATTGCTTTTATAATAATAAAATAATTATTTATATAATATTATCTTATAAAAGCCGGTAATTAAATAATAATTTTGATTATTAAATAATATATATATAAATTGTCGATTAAAGACTATCGTGTTTAGGGATCTGTTATTTTAGTAATTATTAAGTTTAAATTTTTATAACAAAAATGGCTAACAATTAATTATCATATTATTTTCCTATGAAATTAATTAATATTTTGATACATATATATATATATATAATTTAATAGATTTGTGTCACAATAAACATATGGACACCGATTTTATTAATGTTTATATAAGCTGATGATATATATATACTATATATAAATATAAACATATAAAATATATTTCAAATACAATTATTTATATAATGTGATTATAATTCAATATATAAATATAATATATCATAATATTATTTATAACAATCTCTATTAAGTGTTATATTATTGTTAATTAATTGAAAATAAGATTTTATTGAATCAATTTGTAATGTTTATTATTATTGATTTGTTAGCAATAATTAGTTTACCAATAATTTCATTAATAATAATAATATATTTGTATTATAAACTAAAAAACCGTTACCGCGACCGGTGTTTGTCAACAATTCCCGGACCCCGACATCGATACCCGTTTATCGGTAATTTAGATCTGTTTCGTATACCTGGTGTTCCTACTAATGAAAGTTAGTTTTTGTTTGAAAATAATAATTTTTTTGTAAACATTTTTTACATATAATCTATAATTCACGATAATTGTAATAATTATCAATATATAATATATATATATTAAAAATTTTTATTCAATTACAGGTTTATATAAAATATTAGTATCATTATGCAAACTATACAACAAATATGGTATTTATAAAATATTTTTAGGACCCAAACCAGTGGTTGTTATATTCAAATCAAACTTAATTAGTGTATGTTTTTTATTGTAATTAGTAATCAATATATAACTAACTATTATATCAAACTTTATATATCTAATGTAATATTTATTTATTTATTTTTTTGAAAAAAATTATATTTTAATATTAATAGACAATATTATCAAGCAATATTAATATTGAAAAATCTGACCAATATAAATTTCTAAATGATTTTCTGGGCAATGGCCTACCATTGAGTACTGGTGCTAAATGGAAAGGTAGACGCAAACTGTTGACCCGGGCGTTTCATTTCAAAATAATCAACGATTTTATACCCATAATGAATGAACAGACAAATATATTTATGGATAAAATACGTAATCAATTAGCAGTTGATAGCAAATCATTGATTGATATCCGGGAACCGATAGCTATGCTAACACTGGATATTATTTGTGGTAAAAATGAAGATTTTAATTTTTTTTGAATCAATTTTAATACTAATAATTATATACACAATTAGAGACTGCAATGGGCGTACAGGTTGGCGCACAGGTAGGCAATAATAGGGCATACATTCAGGCCGTCCATGATTTCGGTGAACTATTGATGAAACGTATAATATCGCCGCTGTATTGGTCGGATCGAGTATTTTCATGGACACCGATTGGCCGTAAATATCGGCAAACTGTCGATACTTTGCACACATTTACCCGCAATGTTATCAATAGAAAGAAAAAGTTGTTTATCGGTAATAATAATAATAATAACGACAATAAAAGTAAGGAAAACAACGATAGTTTATACAATAATAAGCAAAAAAATCAGGCATTTCTCGACCTGTTTCTCGATTATCACATCAACGCCGACAACAATAAGTTGTCTGCGGATGACCTTCGGGAAGAAGTGGACACATTTATGTTTGCCGGTCACGACACTACATCAGTTAGTATCGGTTGGACTCTCTATCTGATTGGTTTGCATACTAGAGTACAGGACAAGATCCGGGACGAGTTGACCACAATTTTCGGATCAGCCGACGACCACAACAACCAAAACAACATCAATAGAGACATTACATCCGATGATATTAAACGTATGTCATATTTGGATTGTGTACTAAAAGAGTCGTTACGTATGTATCCGTCGGCACCGTTTGTTGCCCGCCGACTGGTCGCTGATGAGTGTCTGGTCAGCGGTGATGGCGATAATTATGTCATACCTGCCGGTGTCGATGTCTTTATAATGATCAGACAAATGCATTACGACTCGGATGTCTACACCAAACCCGACCATTTCATACCCGAACGCTTTCAATGCGAGACCAGTCAAATAAATGCCTACAATTATATACCGTTTAGTGCCGGTCCGCGCAATTGTATCGGTAAACGGTTTGCCATAATTCAGGAAATGTTAGTTTTAGCAAAAATTTTACTAAATTTCAGAATTGAATCACTGGAACCGTTAGATACGGTTCGGGGATCCGCCGAAATGGCTTATGTAGCCAAAAGTCCGCTAAATATTAGATTTATCACCAAAAACATAAAAATCTAAAGATTTCTAAAATAAACTAAATTCTCATTTTTTATATCAATTTAAATGCTATATAAAAAAATTAATTTTCTAATAATTCAATAATTTTTTATGTAATTTATGTAATAAATATCGCAAAAATTTTTAACATTATATTTAATTAAATTATATAAATTATACCCAAAAGTTTCCATTTTTAAAAATTTATTTATTTATTATTGTATTATTTTATTTATATTGATCTAAAAATTATAATAATATTTACTAAATATAAATATAATAACAACAATAATTTTTTTATATATAAATAAAAAAAAATGTATGACCTGTATATATTGGCAATATTTTTGATAATATGGTTAATAATTGTACTAGGTAGTTCAATATTACATATATTTCAAACCAATACTATTAATATTATCAATCAAAAATATTCATCAATTGTTTTGTGTTTTTCGTTGTTAGCAAATTATACAGTATTTAACATAACTAACAATAATAATAATAATAATAATAACATTACAAATAATAAAACACGTATTTTGCACGGAATACGTATTTGTTGTCAACTAATGATGTTAATCATGCATTTTATATTTATAATACTACAATATAATAATTATAATTATGATAATTATTTTCAACCAATTTATAATTCATTAGAAATAAGGTAAAACAAAAAAAATTAATTTAATTAAAAAAAATGTTAATTTTTTAATCATAAAATATTATTATAAAATTTATATTTTTAATTTTTTTTAAAATAATTATAAGCTATTTATCTATATCAATTTTGCGTATACTAACTGGTATAATGTTTACAATAAACGGTATGTCTAGTATCAGTTGGTTCATTGACTACCAGTACAAACATCCCGGTTCGGGTCCATTCAAACAATGTCTACAATTTTATTTTGAACGATTCGGCCGATTACTGCCCATGTATTACCTGTTTGTTTGCTGTTATATAGTTTATCTTAAATATCTAATACCCGATCGGTTTTACGATCGACGACTAGTAGACAGTTGTCCTCAAAACGGTTTTCATATGAAATTGTTTAACTATGCTATCATTGATGAGCCAATCAAACTGGTAATACAATATATATTTATTACTAATAATTATTAGATAAAAATTGTTTTTTATAATTTATATTTTGATTTTTTTTTAATAATTTAACAATAAAACTAATATAATATAAATTTTATTTGTTATGTATATATAGTGTCCAACAATTGTATGGACTAGCAATGTATTAATATATTATATAATATTTACACCAATATTTGCTATGTGTTTCAAACGGTAATCTAATTATACTTTTAAATTTTAATAATAATTATATTTATTGCTTTTTTTATTTATTTATCTTATTTATTGAATTGTTTTAATTTTTTTTATTTACTATTATATATTTATATATACTATATTATATAGTCATTATAAACTGGGTATCCTAGCAATTGTACTGGCTAATATAGTTTGTATTTGGCAAATATTTATCATATCTATTAATAATAAACATAAATCAGAGATTTTATTAGATAACCAAAGTTTTACAAAATTACCGATTCATATAATTACGTAAACTATTATTTTTTAATTTATTTTTTCTATATTTGTAATTTTTTAATTTAAATACCTAATATATATTTATTTAATTAATATTTAGCAACAATATAACAATCAATTTGTACCTATATTTTATGCCATTAAAATATTGTATACCGTATACGACTGGCCTGATGTTAGGCTATATGATTGATAGCAATCGATATTTAATAATCTATAATAGTCGACTAGCTTCCAAATTGATCAAGATCATTATAACCATGTGGACAGTTATGTTGGCAATTGGTTTCAGTAAACATCATACACCCGATGAATGGGATATCTATCTAACATCATGGGATGCAGCCGTCTATGAAATAATCAATACAATTATTCTAAGCTATACTATAATATGTTTAATTGAGAGCACCGGTAGCCGATTATTTAGATTTCTATCTAGCACCTATTGGAAACCAATGCGATCAACTATACAGATAGTCTATCTGGGTCATCTGATGATTTTTACTACACTGCTGTCTATGTTACCCGATTTAGTACTGTCCCATAGATATGCCGGACCAATGTTTATACTGTATGGACTAATATGTATAACTGTTTGCTATATAATATGTATACCATTGACAGCTATACTTGAATTACCTGTTATTAGATTACAACAATTGATTACAAGAAAATTAAAATTTATTTAATTAGACTATTATTATTATTATTATTTATTATTATATTTTATTGATAATTAATTTTATTAGTATTATTAATATAAAATCTGCATTTTATAAAAAAAATACTTTTATTTATTTATAACTAATAATTTAATGTTTTTTATAACTACCAAATGTAAATCTAGATTTTTTTTAATCATCATCTAACAAGTAGTGGGTGAGATAAACTTACCCATACCCATACCCATACCCATACCCATACCCATACCCATACCCATACCCATACCCATACCCATACCCATACCCATACCCATACCCATACCCATACCCATACCCATACCCATACCCATACCCATACCCATACCCATACATACCCATACCCATACCCATACCCATACCCATACCCATACCCATACCCATACCCATACCCATACCCATACCCATACCCATACCCATACCCATACCCATACTCATACCCATACCCATACCTATATAATTACAGTTAATTTATGAAAAACAGGATACCTTAGGATTAGTTATAAATCAAATGTTTGTCTATTTAATCATAATATAAACAAAAATATTTATATAAAGTATTTAAATTTAGAATATTTCCAAAAAAATTTACTTTTATAATAATAATATCAATAATAATAATAAATTACATTATTATTATTATCCAGGATTAACAATAATAATGCATCATCAAGATTAATAGATATATATAGAAATATTTATTATAAGTATTTATATATATATATATATATATATAGATATTTCAAAATTTTAATCTATAATCAAGGTTAATCCTAGATCCTATGATACAGTTATATATATATATATATATATATATATATATTCTATATAAATAGAAGTTTCAACATAAATAAAAATTAATTTCAAATAAAAAAATTATTTTTAAATATTACAATACAAATATTTTTGACAAATAATTATTTTACATTATACTTATTTAGAACAAAAAATAAATATACAGTAAATATTCAATATATATATATAGCTATTATTGTATATAACTTTAAGTAAGTTTAACATAAATTGTTTTAACCAAAAAAAAAATATTATTCAAAAAATATTATATCTATAGGTATGTCAATCATTACTACTACTACTACTACTACTACTACTACTGACACCAGAGTAGCCGCTGATATTGAAACACAGATATCAATAGCAAACAGTTTACTGACAGCCGAACTGTTTGTTGACCTCAAGTGCGGTATATGTCTGGATATTGTCAGCCAACCGGTACTAACCCAGTGTTGCCGACACCTGTACTGTAATAGTTGTATTAGACAATGGCTTACTAACAATAGTAGTACAGGTGGTGGTGGTGCAGGTGCTGGTAATAATGGTGTACCATTGGATCATCGACCAACCTGTCCACTGGACAGACAGCCACTAACTGTCCAGCAATTAATGAAACCGTCAATACTTGTAACTAATTTGCTTTCAAAGTTTTTCAATAGAAATGGTAAGTAATAATTAATTTAATTTAATTTAATTAATTAAAATATTATTTAGTATCTATAATATTTTTTTTGTTTGGTTAAATATAATGATAAAATAAATGATTAGAATTATTATTATTATTATTAAAAATAATTAATATACTTAATTAAGATATATTATATTTATCCGAAACTAAATTATTTAAAAATTTTATTTATAAGTATTTTTTTGTAAAAATAATTTAAAAGTACATATATATATATATATAAATTAATTATTTTAATATAAATTGGAAAAGTAGTGTAAATTAAATTAGTAAATTGATAATGAATTTTTTTTAGAAAAAATAATAATTTTCCATAATTGAAATTTAATTTAAATTTTTTTTTAATTACTATATTTTTTTATCTATCATACAAACAAAAAAAATCTTGCATTGACTAATTACATTAATTTACAAATAATAAATATATTTATATTATAGACTTAAGTATAAATAATTAATAAGTTGATGGCTTAAATTGATTATTCAATATTAATAATATTTTTTTTTTGAAATAATTATAAAATTGAGTTATATATAATTGTTATATATTGTAAAATTTATACATTAATATACAGTTGATATACAGTACTATAAAATTAACTAAAGTTTAAATTTTAATAGTTGAATATTTTTTTATTTTAAGCATACTAATTATATATATATATATATATATATTAAATATATATGTATAAAGTATATATACACTAATATATATAAATATATATATATAGTTTTATTTTTTATTAAACAAAATTTCAGTATAAATAGATTAAAATAAAATAAATTATTATTAGTTTTCATCAATCGTTTCTATTAGTAAAAGTAATTAATAAATTTGTTGCATTTTTTTGTGCCAAAAAATTTTGTGGCTATTTTTGTGCCTAATTTTTAATATAGCAACTATTGGAGCTATGGAACCGACACGTGTGGTCACCGATTGTTCAGCATATATATCATGGCTTATGTGTGTTAAGTGTCGTCAGATACCTGTACGGCCTGTTTCACGTCAGTGTCATCCGTATCCTATATTTTGTGCTACCTGTGCTGACACTGATACATCAAATGGCTGTTCCATATGCGCAAACTTAGGTGCCATCGGCGGCTGCGGCCAACAGCCCGCCGACGAGGCATTTATTCCCGTAATGTGGAAACAAGCGTACGATAGTCTGGTAGTCAAGTGCCGTTACGTTACCAATGGCTGCCAAATTACTGGCTCACCCGTGGATATCGGTAAACACGAACCTCAATGTACTGTTTATTTGGAAACCATTTGTCCGCTATGCGACTGTCTGGTCAGCGATCATAATGCGACCGATAGTGGTCTCAGATCGTGTATACGTCTATTGGCTAATAGAGTCGACAATCTCGCGAAGTAATTAACAATTGTGTCGATAAAATATAATAATTAGTTTATGATAAGCCTATGAAATGTTAAGTTAACACTATGTATGTTAACCAACAACAACAACAACAAGCAAACAATTTGTTTTAAAAAATAAAATTAAAAACTAAATCATATTTTTTTWAAAAAAAATTAAATTAAGATAATTAATGAAAAATTTTTATTATTAATAATAAATTATTATTTGATTAAAATTTCAAAAATATAAAAAAATTTAATTGCAATTCTAAAAATAAATAATTAAAAATGTTTACCYTATTTTTTTATTATTAKTTATATCTGGCTATTATTACTAAATTAATTAATTTAATTATTAAGAAAATTATTTATTTATTTATTTATTTATAAATTTCTAACTGTTAAAAATTTATTGTAACAATAACTATATTTAAATATAAATAAAATTATTTATAATTAATAAACTAAAAAAATCTATAAGTCTATAATTTAATATACATAAWTTTATATTACATAAATAAATAAATATGTATTATTTATTAGTATATTAGATAATATCAAAGTTTAATAAAAAAAATAGTTTTAAAAATAAAAATAAATAATTTAATTAATATTATTTTTCTAATAAAAATAAATAAATAAATAATTTTTTTAAAAAATGGATACTATTARCCAATGTTCACATTATTTTTTATTATTTATAGTTATATCGGCTATTATTACTTCACTAATATGTTTGATATATTGGTTAAAATAATTTTTGAAATTAATTAATTTAATTATTATTTTTTGTTTGTTTGTTAAATAATTTCAATTATAAAATAACAATTAAATTAATAATCATTGAATAATTTAGTTTATTTTTTTTCTAATTTATTATTCATTAGTAAGTTAAACAAAAATCTAAATTACTGGACTAGACTGGGTATACGGGGACCGAAACCGTATCCATTGATCGGTACATTAATCTATCAATTTCTGAAACCAATCGGTGAACTAGAAATCAAATGGTTTCAAAAATACGGTTCAATTTACGGGTAATTCAAAATATTATTTATTAAAAAAATAAAATTAAAAAAAAATATTTATCATTTAGATCCTAAAAATAATTAATAAATAAATTATTATTAATAGTCTATTCAACAAATCAATACCAATGGTAAGTGTCGGCGAACCGGAACTTCTGAAACAAATTCTGGTCAAAGATTTTCATTTGTTTACTGACCGAAAACAACGTAAATCCGATCATCGGGTTATCAATAAAAATCTAATCAGTTCTACGGGTGACGACTGGCGCCGATACCGTACAATATTAAGTCCGGCCTTTTCTACCGGTAAAATGCGTCAAATGTTTCCACTTATACGCCAATGTCTTCATGATTTTGAACGGGTATTACTCCAGAGGACAGCGTTGTCAGGGATGTCCACCATCACTGAAATCAATGCCAAAGAACAGACATCTAATTTTACAATGGATGTAATAGCTACCTGTGCGTTTGCTACAAAAATCAATGCCTACTACGAAACCACCACTACCGGCAGTGCGGGCACCGGTAGTCTAGAAACAGACAATCCGTTTGTCTATCATTCACGTCGGATACTATCGTATCCGGTTTGGTCAATGTTGGCACTGGCAGTACTACCGAAACCATTGTTGAATGCTATTGGCCTGAGTTGGCCGGTTGACGACCGACACAATCAGTTTTTCTTTGACCTGACCCGTAGTGTTATCCAAGAGCGCCGCAAACAAGTGGCGGTTGGTTTGGATGGTAGTGGCGGCGGTACAGGTAGTCAACAACAACAACAACCTAAGTATACAGATTTTATACAACTTATGATGAATGCAGAGATGATTGATAGTAGTAGTGGTAGTAGTAGTGGTGGTAGTGATGGTGATGTCGATGACTGGCCCGACCTATTGAACGATACTATTGATGCACATCATGTCAACGATGGTATAGTTTATATAATTATCATTAATTCAAACAAAWTTTATTTTATATTACTATTTGTTTTATTTGYTTWWCTTTTTTTTTTAACTTAAACTTCAGATGAAGCCAATGAAGAGCAGGAAATTAAGCRAAAAATGTCGGCAATGATGGCAAACAACAACAAACAAAAACGATTGACCGAAACGGAAATCCAGGCCCAGGGATGGGTATTTTTTTTGGCCGGTTTCGAAACTACSGCCACAACACTGGCCTATGTTATGTATGAGCTGGCAATGAATCCCCGGATTCAGGATCGGCTMTACCAGGAACTGGTCCAAGCATTTGGTAACGTTGTCGTCGGCACCGTCGACACCGATAGCACTACAGRTGCYGCCGCCGATCCGCTAACATACGATCGTCTAACGAAACTACCGTTTCTCGATGCTGTTGTATCGGAAACCTTGCGCATGTATCCAGTGGTTGCCTCAACCGATCGTAAACTCATAGCTGGCACCTATAGGTTAGGCGTCGGCGGCCAATCGGSTATTACACTRACGGCTGGCCAAGAAATATCTATACCTATCTATGCTATACATCATTCCCAGCGATTCTATCCGAATCCCTGGCAATTCMAACCGGATCGTTGGCTACCTGGCCAGMCCAGTCAYCAAGTGCTRCCCTATACATACCTGCCGTTTGGTGCCGGYCCCCGTAATTGTATTGGTATGCGATTTGCATTGATGGAAATCAAACTAAGTCTGGCACAGTTGGTCCGRCGGTTCCGGTTTAGCCGTACCCCCCRWACGGCYGTTCCGCTAGAGTTCCGGAAAGTTGTCCGATTAATATCAGCCAAACAGATACTGATTGGTATTGAACAGAGAGARAGACATTTATTACATCCAATAGATAATCAAAACAAATAATATATTTATATAAAAAAAAATTATTTTTAATATATATATATACTTTTTTTAGTAAATATTTTTTGTTTGATTTTTATTTTTTGAACAAATTATATATTTTTTTTTTAATTTCGATATATAATCTCTAATAAATCTCCATAAATATTTTTATGTTGTTTTTTTCCTGGGAAAATTGTAKGGGAAAATTTGTTAGGAAACTTCCCTAAACTCACTATTGTGGAGATGCCTGAACTCTCTCTMTMTATATATATATATATATGTAATATTTATTTAATATTTTGATTATTATTATTATTTTAAARCATATTTTCCGTAATAAAYTATTGATTTTTTATTGTGTATAAATATAAAACTAATTAATTGTATATTACAT